CTCAACGATGCGCTTGGCGTAGGCGGACTGTCGAAGCGCGATCCCGGAGTGGTCCTGGTGCACCTCAATCCCTAGATAGAAGGAGAGGAGCCCCAGGTCACTCATCTGGAACGTGGCCTTCATGTCTTCCTTGAACGCCGCCACCTCTGCATCTTTGGTGCCGGTGATCACCAGGTCGTCAACGTAGACGCCCACCAGCAGGGCATTTCCTCCACTCCCCCATCAGTAGACGGCAGCCTCATGCGGGCTCTGCTCGAAACCCATCTTCTTCAGCGTGGAGTCCAGCTTGGCGTTCCACGCCCTGGGTGCCTGCCGCAGGCCATAGAGAGCCTTGCGCAGGCGGAGCACCTTGCCCTCCTGGCCGGGAATCGTAAACCCCGGTGGCTGATGCACGTAGACTTCCTCCTTCAAGTCGCCATTGAGGAATGCCGACTTAACGTCCATGTGGTGGACACGCCAGCCCTCCTGGGCAGCTAGCACAAGGAGAAGTCGCACGGACTCCATCCGTGCCACGGGAGCGAAAGCGTCGTCGAAGTCGACTCCTTCCTGCTGCAAGAAGCCTCGGGCCACCAAACGAGCCTTGTGCTTGATGATGGCGCCGGCTCCATCCCTCTTCAGCTTGAACACCCACTTAAGGGTGATTGCGCGGTGACCTCGAGGGAGATCAGCAAGCTCCCAGGTGCGGTTTTGCTCGACCGCATCCATCTCCAACTTCATCGCGGCGCGCCATGCCGCGTCTCTCTCGGCCTCTGCAAAGGACCGTGGTTCGCCGTCTTCACACACGAGCTGTAGCTGCGCCTCCAGGTCACGTGGCACCAGTCCTGGCACCGGCTGGTCGCCGAGCACATTATCCATCGTACGGTACCGCAGCGGTTCGCCTCCATACCATGCGTCGACCCGCTCCTCGTCGTGAGTGAGCGGGGAAGCGAACTTCATCGGGTTGTGCTCTGCGTGAGCTGGTGCTGATGAAGACGAGCCCAGAGTGGCGACCGCCGGGGCTGGAGTATGCGGCGTCGCTGGTTGTGGTGTCGTCGGTGTAGCAGGCGCCGGAGTCGATGTAGTTTTGGGGGCCGGGGTAGACGTGCCCGGTGAAGAGGAGCTGCTTGCTCCCCCAGCTTCCTTGAAGTGAGCGTACTCGACAATGAAGTCGTCATACGTCGGCGTCGAGCCGTCGTCCACCGCCTTGTCCCATTGCCACCCTCGCCCTTCGTTGAACACGACGTCTCGCGCTGTGCGCACACGTTGTGTCTTTGGGTCGAGGATGCGGTAGGCCTTTGAGCCCTCCGCGTAGCCGATGAAGACTCCCGGAGTGCTCCTGTCGTCGAGCTTGCCGATGTGGCCGAGCTCCTTGGCGAACGCAAGGCAGCCAAAGACCCGCAAATGAGAGACCGCCGGCTTCCGCCCATGCCAGGCCTCGTACGGAGTTCTGCCGTCGAGTGCCTTAGTAGGAGAGCGGTTGAGGATGTAGACGGCCGTTAGCACCGCCTCTCCCCAAAAGACAGCTGGCATCCCTCTCTGCTTGAGGAGAGCCCGAGCCATCCCCACAACCGTCTGGTTGCGCCGCTCGACGACGCCGTTTTGCTGCGGGCTGTACGGCGCGGAGTAGTGGCGCTGGATGCCCTCATCGGCGCAGTACGACGCGAATTCAGCCGCCGTGAACTCGCCGCCGTTGTTAGTGCGCAACACGCGCAATTTGCGGCCGCTCTCCGCCTCCACACCAACCTGCGCGCGCCTGATGGCGTCCGCCGCTTCTCCCTTACTGCCGAGGATCATCACCCACATGTAGCGGGAGAGATCGTCGACGAGCAGCAGGAAGTAGCGTCGACCTCCTGGTGTGGCTGGCGTCACCGGGCCGCACAAGTCTCCGTGCACGAGCTCCAGCTTCTCCTTAGCCTGAAAACTCGCCTGTTGGGGAAAGGGGAGTCGTCTCTGCTTTGTCAGTACGCAGATGTCGCAGAACTGCTCCACATGGTCGAGGCATGGCAGGCCTCGCACCATCTCCTTGGCACTTAGACGCTTCAGGGCCTCAAAGTGAAGGTGCCCAAAGCGCTCATGCCACCGCCACGCCTCGTCGTCTCGACGGACAGCGAGACAGACCGGTTGTGCCACCTGCACATCAAGGACGTAGAGTCGATTTTCACCTCTGGGCACCTTGGCGAGAAGGCGACGCTGGCGATCCCAGATGCGTAGGACCCCATGCTCAATCAGCACGCGTGAGCCGTTCTCATCCAGCTGTCCCAAGCTGATGATGGAATTCCTTAGCGCGGGGATGTAGTAGACACCGGTGAGCAGCCGGTGCTCTCCCATCTTGGTGGTGAAGATGACGGAGCCGACGCCCTTTATCTCCACAGCGGAGGCATCCCCGAACTTGACGGAGCCTCGCGCATCGGAGTCGAGCTCGGCGAAGAATTCCCTTCGACCGGTCATGTGGTGGGTGGCGCCGGTGTCGAGGCACCACCCCGTAGCCTTGTCCTTCCCGGAGCCATCGCCGAGAAGAGCGTGTGCTTTTGGCTCATCGAGGTGGATGAAAGCCTTTGCGACTGGAGTCGCCGAGGGTAGCTCAATGCTTGCATGCGCCATGAACAGAGCCGTCTCCTCCTCCTTCGCCTGTGCGACGTGAGCCTGGCCTTGTCGTGGTTGCCGACACTCATTGGCCCAATGGCCAAACCGGCCACAGTTGTGGCAACTGTTGTCTTGTGCCGGCCTGGGCTTGCCAGCGGCGCCGTCCTTGGCGCCTCCGCGGGCGTCACCTTCGGCACGTCCTTGTGCCCTGCCCGGGGGGCCTCTTCGCGCCTTACGCTGCTTGCCACGCTTGCGGCCGCCCGTCGAGGAGGAAGGCTCCCCCTTCTTCTTGTCACCAAGGTTGGGATCCCACTGCTCCCGAGTTAGGAGCAGCTTCCCGCCGGTGGTGACGGGCCCCGAGGGGGGCTGTGGCTCGTCGGTGTCGACGACCTTGAGTCGACCTATCGCCTCCTCGATCGTCATCGTGGAGAGGTCCAGCAACGACTCGATCGAGCGAGCCATCTGCTTGTACTTCTCGGGAATGCACCGAAAAAGCTTCTCGACAGCTCTCTCCTCGGTGTAGGTGGCATCGCCAAACTTCACCATCTTCTGCAGCAGAGTGTTGAGACGGAGAGCAAAGTCATCAACGTCCTCACCTGGCTTGAAGCCCAGGTTCTCCCACTCCTTACGAAGTGCATGCAGGGTGGACTTGCGAGCACGGTCGCTGCCGATGCGTGCTGCGGCGATGGCGTCCCAAGCCTCCTTGGCAGTTCGCTTGTTGGAAAGCGAGAACTGCATCTCGGGCGGGACTGCGGCTATGAGGGCGTCCAGCGCCCGTCGATCCTCTAGGTGGTCGACGTTGCTGTCCTGGACTGCCTCCCACATGCGCCGCACCTGGAGCCTGACCTTCATGATCCCGGCCCACTCGACGTAGTTGGTTTTAGTGAGGGTAGGCCACCCAACACTGGAACCAACATCCCTGACCACAGTCCGGACCTCGTAGAGGCCGCGGTCCTGGTCGTTGCAGCCGCCGTCGCGGTGCGCGCCTCCACCTGGAGCGCGGGCGTGCTCGGCTGCCCACTGCGCCGTCCGCTCCTGCGCCACTTTGGCGCGATCTGCGTCGGCGCCATCGTCCGCAGGCGCGGAGCTGCTGGAGCTGCCGGGGCTGCCGCGGAGTGCCTTGGCATCCGCCGTAGCCTCACGGGCTGCTTCTGCTGCTGCTGCTGCTTCTACCTCCGCCCTGGCTGCTTCTACCTCCGCTCTGGCTGCTGCCAGCTCCGCTGCAGCCAGCCTCGACACTCTTGCCGCCGCAGCAGCCGCTGCTACAGCCGCTCGCTCACGCTCCTCTGCCACGGCGCGCTCGGCCTCTTGCCGGCGCCGCATGCTCGAGGTAGCCGTGTGCTGAGAGCGACCTGCAGACATGGCTCGCTGCAGGGGGGCTGTTGCGTGAAGAGGAGGCTGATGAAGACGAGCTGCTGCTCGACAGTCCGGAGGGAGGAAGGTAACCAGAGGCAGACGGAGCAGCTGCTGCTACCGACTTGGGCTGCTCACAGGAAATGCTCAGGGTGCAGGTTAACCTGGCTCTGATACCACTTGTTAGACCTTTCAGCCTGAGCATTGATAGATGTGGATGACACTAGGAGAGTTGGGACAATTTTCGTTGGTTTATTTCTCACACAATGCCATGCCAACCTGAGGGGTTGGGGATACATATTTATAGGCTGCTAGCCAGCCAAGGCATATGCTAAGATGCTGCTAAGATGCCAGTCTAAGATGCTAGTCTAAGATGCTAGTCTAAGATGCTAACTGACAGTCCTTGATGGTCAAGAACAGAACTCTATCCTAACAGCCAGTCCTTGATGGTCCAGGACTTTATCCTCCTAACTGCCACAAGGACCATGTGCTGCAGCCCCACAAGGACCCTAGTACACAGACTTATCCATCACTATGTACCTGTTCATTATACTTCCACACTTTTGACTTCATTGCCCATCACAATAACCACATTGCATGATTAATTTACTAACCTTAACGGACACTGCATGACTACCTCGATAATATTGTCACCATCGTGTCGAGCCTTACTCTGTTCTTGCTTCTGTGTGCAAATTTTGGCAGGTACCTGATCATAGTGGATGATTTATGGAGGAAAGAAGATTGGCATATCCTATCCCGCAGCTTGCCCGTTAACAGTTGTGGTAGCAGAGTAATTGTTACAACTCGTGTTAATGACATAGCAAAGACATGTTGTTCTGGCCAAGATGAGTTGATATGTGAGGCCAGTTGAACTGAACTCCAAAAAATTGTTTCTACCGAGATGCTTTGGCTCTGAGGCCAGTTGCCCTGATGCACTTGCAAGAGAAGTTGGTGAGATCTTGGAAATATGCGGTGGTATTCCTTCAGCAATTATAAGCATTGCTTCGTTGCTCAATAGCAAAATAGCCGCAAGGAAACCATGGCAAGATGTGGTGTATGCTTTCTGTTCTGCTTGGAACGAGATGGCAAGCTCTTTAGATTCTGCACAGGAGCGTATTTCTGGTTTGGAGGACTTGATAAAGGTTTTTTCACTCAGCTATGAAAACCTTCCCAGCACTCTGAAGACCTGCTTGCTGTGCATAGCTACAAGTACAACTGTCAAGTACCAAAAGTTTAGAAGAGGTGATACAGTTAGGAAATGGATCACTGAAGGATTTATCTCTGAAGTTGGGTGGCGCAGCAGCGAGGAAGTGGCGAACCAATGCTTTGATGACCTCGTTGGCAGCAAAGTGATTCAGCCTGTGGAACGCCCAACCTTTTATGGGAAGGGGATGTATGAGGTCAACTCCATGATGCTATATGTTCTTAGGCTGATATCACGAGAAGAGAGCCTGGTCACCTTTCTGTCCGACTTGGACATTTCAGAGACACCTGCAGCGAGACCTGTCTTTTTGTCTATCCGACGTTGTGGCTCAGACAGTTCAAACGGCACAGAAAGGTTGGATCTGTCGCACGTTCGTTCTATAACCATTATTCACTGTGACAAGGTGTTTTCATTTAAGCATTTGGGGTATCTGCGAGTGTTGAATGTGGAGGAATGTGATGGTTTGGACGATACTGATGTACAACACATATGCAGACTGATCCTGCTGAAGCACCTGAGTCTGAAAGAGACACCACAAGTCACTAGGATTCCTCCACAAATCGGGAACCTACGACATCTTGAGACTCTAGAGATCGAGCTGACCCAAATCAGTGTTCTCCCGCCACAGATCGGGAAGCTGCAAAATCTGGAGACACTGGATGTAAGGCTGACACGAGTGAAAGAGCTGCCCAAGGAGCTCATCCAGCTTCCCAAACTAGCAAATCTGCATTTTGGCCATACTGGGGTGAGGCTACCTGCCGGAAGTGATCGCTTCAAATCAGTCAAGGTGCTGGGCACCATTGATTCGAGGGAATGCTCGGCAAGCACCCTGCAGGAGATTGGAGGGATGACTGGATTGATTAAGGCTGAAGCCATGTTGTACGGTGAGCCTGCCGACACGCCAAAAAATGACAATCTACTGTCTTGCATGGGCAAGTGCAACTTTCCTCTACTTGAAGAGCTAAAGGTGGCCCCAAGATTTGTTAAAATTCCCGGGTGGATCGCACATCTCAGCCGTCTTAAGAAGCTAGAAATCAGGCTCTTTGAACAAGGACTAAACGATCTCAAGATACTTGGAGGTCTGCCCAGTCTCACTAGCCTTGCAATCCAGCTGTTTGGTGACCCACGGAAACAAGTCACTATAACTTCAGGTTTCACCAGACTGGAGTTTTTCGCCTTCGACTGCTATGCACCATGGGTAAAGTTTGAGCAGGGAGCCATGCCAAGTCTGAGACACATCGAGCTGACACACTATTCTGGCCCAGCAGGTAAAACTCCAGCAGGTATCATATACCTTGAGAGCCTCCAGAAGGTCACCCTCATCTACTCTTCACACTGTTCAAGTTGTGCTGGTGTCATCGAGACAGTTGCTGTCATGAGGAAGGAAGCTGCCAGCCATGCTAATCGGATTGTGCTTTCTGTTAATGGCGACGATGAGATTTTCCCATCCATCTCAAGTGTTGACGGAAAGATTACTACAACCGAAAACGAAGAGTGTTAGCTTCCCTACTACTCTATGTGTGAGTGTATGTTCTCATGGGTACACCCAATCCTTATCTAGAAAAAAATCAAAAATGAAAATTTCAAATTTCAAGAAGTTCTGAAATAAGTACCACATGTATATAATTTATAGGTGTATTCTATGTATGTGTAAATTTTCATTCGAAGATAATTGAACAAGTGAGCTGTCCAACATTTTGTCTCTATTGTGTTGCTCGCATGTTAAAATCACTCTTAATATTTGTTTATACAACTAGTTTCCCACTAAAAGAGGCATGCACTGTGCAGGGTAAGGCTTGCCTCGTATAATCCTTCCCCAGACCCACCACCTGATGTGGGAGCTTCTAGCACTGGGTTTGTTCTTTTTAGTGTTCCCGCTGCGATGGTGGATAACCTACAGCTTTTGCAGCATTTTGTTGCATCCCTTTTGGTTGAGTAGATTTAAGGGCTCCCTTGCTTCAAATTAATGTTTTGGATTTCTGGAGTATTTGTATTCATTTTTTTCCATGTGTTGGTTATTACTCCTATAAAGGATGCTGGAGTACCCGCCTTCGTGGGCGCCTTACAAGTGGAGAGAGCCTCCTAGCTGTTCGTCTTGCGGTGGCTTGCCACAGGGGCTTCTTGGGGGGCGACCCCGGTGGGAGGTCCATGACGGGTGGACCACCAGGTGCGCACGGGGCCACCATTATTGGGCGGCAATGGGGGTGCCCGCGAGCGAGCCCCAGCTGGTGAGAGCGACTCGGGCATGCTTACTGGTGCGTCCATGACGGGTGGACCGCCAACGTGGCTGGGGCCACCGTCATGTGAGGCCCTTCAAGCCGTCTGTTGTCGGGTGGCTTTTCGCGAGGGCCTCATATACTCTACCAGATCATGCCACAGGTCAGAGAAGGTACCAGGCAGCAGCAGTGGTGGGACACATCTCATGGCAGTATTGGGGGCGGCACCTCAAAGAAAACACATGATAGACTGCAAACATTGAAACTTCAAAAACTCGAGAAAGAGCTTAAGGAGCACTTTGAGAAATACAGGTATAACATCCATCAAGTGGTTCTTTGAGTAGCTCATCACTATGCTTTCTATGCATATTACATGAAAGCATCATCGAATTGCATAAACTAGTCTTCACATGATTTACATCAGTTTTTTATATGTTCTTTGCATTCAAGTTGAACAAGATAATTTTTTGCTAGATATGTACTTTCATTTCATTCTTTGTTATTCCACACTTCATTTACATTGTTTAAAAGTGACTCATCTTATTATCTCTTCTTCTCATGGCAGTTACCTGCTTGTGCTGGATGATGTTTGGTCTACTGATATGTTGGAGCTGATAAATAAGTCACTGCCTAAAAGTGAGAAAGGTAGCAGAGTGATTGTTACGTCAAGGTTCCAGGCTGTTGCCAGTGCTTGTGTAAGAAATAAAGGAGATTATCTTTACAAGGCTGTAATCCTCAGCGGGGACAAATCTGAAGAATTATTTATGGACATCATGGCTGAAGCTAAAGGTTGCCAGGAACAGCAAGATAAGAGCAAAATTATACCTGCACACTGGGAAATGTGCATGAGGCTGCCATTGGCGGTAGTTATCATGGCTGGATATGTTGCCTGCAACCCACATATTTCTGACTGGAAACAAGTTTTTAAGAATCTGGTGCCAGACTATCTGAAACCTCTTTCCCATGATGGATTAATGAGCATTATTGATAATTGCTATTCTGATATGCCACCTGAGATCAAAAGATGCTCTCTATATCTCAGTATATTTCCGAGCGGTTCACAAAATAGCAGGAAACGCCTCTTAAGAAAATGGATCTCAGAAGCTCTTGTCAGTGAGAAACAAGGATTGAGCGCAGAAGAGGTCGCGGAAACATGCTTCAATCATTTGATAAAGAGACAGATAATTCGAGCTGTGAAGCACAGTAGCAATGGAAAGGTGAAGACCTATGAAGTTCATAACATGATACATGAGTATCTTGTGTGCAAGGCGGGTGAGGAAAATTTTGTCACCGTGGTTGGTGGCCAGTGGTTGATGGCGCCGCCCAGTAATATGGTTTGCCGGTTGTCACTTCAGAGCGATGGTTTGAAGACTGAGAGTACAAAACATAACATGAACCTATCTCATGTGCGATCGTTGAGCGTATTTGGTACTTTGAATGGATTGCTTTCCAAGCCACAAAAGTTGAGAATTGTGCAACATTTGGATCTTGAAGGCTGTACAGATTTCAAACAAGAACACACAAAAGTTGTTTGCAAACTTTTTCTTCTCAAGCACCTCAGCCTCCGTAGAACAGACACCACAAAGCTTCCTAAAGAGATAGGGAAGCTTCAGTATTTAGAGACCCTTGACATCAGGGAAACTGGTATTACAAAGTTACCCAAAACTATTTGCCAGCTGCAAAAGGTGAAGAATATACTTGGTGGGAACAAAAAGACACGGAAGGCATTGAAGCTTCCTGAGGATATGAAGAAGAAGCCAATAAAATCCCTCTGTGTACTGTCAGGCATAGAAATTGTCGAAGGACCATCTTCAGTAGCAGATTTCGTCAGCTGACCAAGCTGAGGAAGCTTGTAATCTACAAGTTGAACATCAAGAATGAGGGTAAACTTTTCGATGAATTGAGGTTCTCTATTGAAGATCTTTGTGGCTACTCGCTCCAAACTCTTGTAATTGATGATGGGTCTGCTGGTTTTCTCAGCTCATGGGGTTGTCTCTCCTCCCCGCCCAAGTTTCTGAATGCCCTTGAGCTGTCTTGCAAACTGCAGGCGAAAGGGGTTAATCTCCCAAAATGGATCATTGAACTGGACGCACTGACAAAGCTGACCCACTCAGTCGTGATGCTTAGCTCAGATGCTTTGGTGCAACTTAGCCAGCTTGATGATGCAGAACAGGGTCTAGAATCGGAAGCCACTTGCAGGCAGATCCAGCTTCACTTGGAACATCCTAACAGTACCATGATGATCATAGTTCACCCTGGTGGATTCGAGAGTCTGAAGCTTCTTCGTTTTTCTGCTCCTTACATGCCAAAATTGGTGTTTCTGGAGAAGGCTACAGCGAACCTCGAAAGGCTTGATCTACGGTTCTTTGCTTTTGAGGGAGTTGACGGTATAGAACACCTTAAGGTTCTGAAAGAGTTGCACTTAAGTTTACACAACAATGGAAGTCAGGGTACCAAAAAGATAATACAGCAGATTTCAAATGAAGCACGGCAATGTGAGAATGGACCAAAGTTGATTGTCGATCAGTACCATTAGGTAGGCAAATTTCAGTTTTCATATCATCTTAACTTCTGTTCTTCATATCCTTCTGTCTAGCTATATGGGTGTGAATATCATGTTGACAAATTTTTGTTTCTCATCAGTGTCTATGGATGCGTGCTCAGCGAGGAAGTACAACTGAGTGAACCATGCCTGGTGGTGGTGGATAGGGCTGCACTTCCGATTACAGACTGCTTCCGTCCTCTGTTAATCTCTACATCAGTTTCTGGTAGGAGTTTGTGTGGATAACTTCTTGTGCTTCATGTGTCGCCTTGTCTGTATGAGCTTTGTGTGCGGTTTGGTTCTTGATAAGGAAAATACAGGCTGAGCCCTTGGATCTGAAGAAAAAGTAGCTTCTTTCACTTAGGAGAATGTGGCATTTGCTCATGAGGTAGTGCCATAGTGTGGCGCGGAATGGTGATAGTGATTTTGTTCTTAGTTGCATGGTGTGATGTAAAACTTGATAATGATTTTTGTTCTTTGCTTGACTATTAGAAGGGCTTCAACAGCTGCCTTTTGAGAATTTTGAAGGTAATAAATGCTTGCTGCTCTCAGAATAGAATAGCAGATGGATTGAAACAGAGTAAATGCTTGATTTTCCCGTGGTACCGTAAAGAAGTTGCAGGTAATTAGTTTGATGACGGGTTGACAATCGCCGATCGTGTTACCATTCCTATTTTCCTGCTTCTTGCCCTGTTGTTTTGGTGTTGGATTCCTGAAGTATGCAGACTTGCTATTTTTCACAGGCTGCCCATTGGACAGCCATCATTGTGTTCTTGTTGGTGTATAAAATGTTGAAAGCAGGTGCATGAGATGTGTGCATTTGCAACAAATCCTTGGGGTGATATTAGCACAAGAAGATTTGTGGGTCCTATGGGACAACCCTGCAAGGTTTGTTGCCTACTGATACTGACTGCAGCTGCGATGGATGGCTGACGAGCCCATGAAGAAGAAGCGGTGGGAATGATTGAAGATGCTTCATTGGGATGGGATTAGATAATGCCCACTGATGGTATTTACACTTGACGTGTTTGAAAGATGAACAGCTTTCCATTGTTCTTGGAAGACTGTTTTCTTAATTAACGTTGAAAACATTTTGGAGTATTGATTTTTTTTTCACGACTTCCATGAATGTCTCTTCATGCTGAAATTTTGCAAGCATAAAATATATTTGTCAAAGTTTACCAATTTTTTTTTAAAAAAAATTAACTACTTTTTCCTGAGTTTACTGTTCATGAGGGTTCATTTTAGCTCAGGATCAGAATAGTACTTTCAATTCTTATTAAATGTCTCTATTAAATTCCTGTTGCGAGGCAACAAACTGCTTAATAACACTTTTCAAAATCGCTATAGACATTGCTACTACTCTCTAGACATTTGTAAAAAGGTTGTGTCAATTAATTCAGATCGAAGAAGAAGGGAGTACCATAATCATTCTAGGGGTACTTCCTTACACTCTGATGTGAAAATAAAATAATTCTTTAACATAGCACGGTATAGACGCTCGTACGCTCACTATCAGGCATAGAACTTGAACCCTGATCGGCCAGGAATGATATCACTGTTCTCCTAGCCATCTAACCACGTTTGGTTTGGTTCGCTGGACAAATGTTGATTGACATGTCTCGAATCAGCCGCATTCTATGAGTATTCTTTTTCAAATCATTATCTCTCTACGAGGTTGAGTAGGAACAAAGGGAAATTTCGTTGGGAACCGGCGATCATCCGCTGGCTGCACAAGTTGAC